CTGGGTCTTTCAGCATGACAATGACCAACAAAAAAAATTGATACATTTTTTCGACAGGGGGTCGCCAGTCTCTGGCACTGTTATTTTGGGGGTTAGGGAACCCCTGCTTTAGACGATAAACTGTACTGTATACTATACTGTAGCCTATATATGAATTATTCCATATTAATGTATGAGGACGATAAACAGATGTACAAACTAACAGTGTATTCTGATCCATATCTCAACTATATACAATAGAAACAAATACAGATTTGTGAATAAAATGACAACACTATACAGAAATGGTTGTAATATGGTTTTGTGGTTGTATGTGCCCTCGTGGCAAGCCACCACACAAATACACATATACACCCAGCAGTGGGGAATGTGATGAGAAGTGGTCTAAATATTGAAACACTCTCCATTACAGAAGACAGTGCTCTGCGTTAAGCGTGTCTGCCGAGCTGCCTGCAGTGTTGCACCACGCGGCGACAGAAAGGCCCGGCCCCATCTGGTCCTGGTTCAGTCTGGTTTACTGCAGAGCGGTGCCAATACAAATAGCTGTGCTTGATGTTTGTTTGCATAAATTGTTTTGAAAGGCTTCACCAAGAGTTTTTCGGGTGGATTACGGTGGGGAAGTTGGGGAGCCAACCGTGGTGGAATAATCCTCACTGAGCTGACAGTTAGATTTGCTCTTCTTCTTTAAGAAAAAAAAGATTGTTTGGGATTTTTTCTCCTCGTTTCCTGGCGGTGAGCTTGGACTGTGAACTTTTCAGTGGGTTGTGCGTGTGTGTGCATTGAGTGTGTGTATGGAGAATGCTGAGCAGCTCACTTTTATCTCGTAACATAGCAGTGTCAATTTCGATCACATCAATATAGCGTTAACACATGCTTGAAGTTCAGTTGAAAGTTCAGAGGCCCGATGCGTTGTAGAGAAACATTCTCTTCCTAAAGCCCCCGCGTATCCACTTAGATTTTTCTCTCATAGGTCAAGGCTAGAGAAGGGGAAAAAGTTATGTAGTGAAGTGAATTAGGTTTGTATTACACTTAAAGTGAAAGTCTATCTTCTATTAAAGTAGGCACATTTTTTTGTTTTGATTGTACATCCTGGTAAAGAAAAAGCAACCAATTGGTAGTCATCATCACTTAGCTCTGGGTTGATTGATTTCATGTCCAAGTAAGTGTGCCAGCTCAGCACCAGACATATTCTTCGTAAGCTTTATGGATACCCAGGCCCCCCGAGTCTCAACCAGAGCCCCCGATAGGATGGAGATCGCAATTCTGCCAATGACAGTTCAATCGTTCGGCCCTTCTGTTCCTCATTTGCTGCGTAGCCAGTGGAGGTCCCTCCATGGTCGACTCCCAACTCGATCCAGATGCAGCTAAAAATATTTTTGCCGCAACATTTGTCTTTGTCTTCAGATCCTCTGCAGCCACATTGTGTCAGGCTGCAGAGCTAATGATGGTATATTTCCTTGTCCACAGAAAAATCCTGACACTTCTGCTCCATCCTGCACCATAGATGGGTTTGGTCTCTACACAGAAGTTTGACAAGCTCAGCAACCAGAGTGATACGATATGACTCAACCTACTTCCCTTATCCCAAGACTGTTATCCAAACAGTGACTATAACACAGTGACTGAATCGTCTTATTCCAGTTATATTCTGCTGGTAAATGACTTTTATAGCATCTGGAAGTATTGAAAAAATATTCCCTGCATGTCTCACTCTTAAGGATTTAAAAACAAAAGGAAAGTCTGTTTATTCTGAGCAGAAAGCACTTATAAATTCCAGTGTCAATCAACATGATATTATACTTTTTGCTCCCTGTAATGCCTCATCAGTTTGATTTCCAATTGGACACGGTTATTTTACTTCCCTTTGATTCTCGTTTTCCCCGAGTACCCAGCTCTGTGAGCAGGCCTGAGAAAAGTTTTTTTCTTACCTCAGGACAAGGAAAAAAGAATGGGGCTCCCTCAATCCGTCCAACTTAAAAGCAGATGTTACATGGTTGCCTACATCAAAAGGTCCTGCTAACTGTACAGAGGGTGAAATCATATACGTTTGATTAGCCTTTTCACTGGTTAATGTGAACGAGCTTAGTACATGGTTGCTGAGTGAACCCTGACCTTGGCCCCCATGGCCAATACATCATCAGATTACAGAAAATAACACACACTTTTGTTTCAACTATGCCTTGTTAGGGCTAATTTCTGATTTGCAGATTGTCAAGCTTACTTTGGAGAAAGCAAGAGGACTGGATCAAATCTCCAACAGGCCCCCTGCTCCGCTGTAACACGGACG